ACGAGTCTTAGTTTCTCCACAAAACCTGGTTATAATGGTTCATGCTGAAGACAGTAATCTATTTTGCACCTCACTTTCTAAACATAAGTGTTTCTTTAAGACTTGAAACACAAGCTCTCGCTGCAAGATTTTAAATTACTATTTATCCCAGAGATGATTTTCCAAACCAATTTTAGCACTTTCTATCTCAGCCCTCAAGACTAGCTACTATTGCTACTACCTGTCCGTTCATATTTAGATGCAGTATAGTGTCAGAAACACCACTGCTCAAAGAGGATGAAGGAAATCTTCCTTCTATAAGCAGAAAGCTATCTCTCCGTGGGATGCTGAAACAATGCCCTAAGTTTGCACTGCCTAATGGGGAAGCCACTAATTATAGTGGCCATTAAACACTTGAAATATGGTTAGTCCAAAGACAGACTTGTTGTAAATATAAAACACACACCGGATCTCAAAGAGGATTTAGTATATAAAGAAAAAGAATGCAAAATATCTAATTAATAATTTTATATTGATTACATGTTGAAATAAAAATATTTTCGGTGTATCAGGTTGGATACATTCTTAAAATCAATTTCACATAATCCTTTTGACTTTTTAACATGTGGCTATAAGAAAATCTAAAATTATGTATGTGATCATAGTTATGATTGATGTTACATGTCTATTGGACAGTGTGGTAAGCCTAGAGAACTGATCAACACTTCTGAACTTTTTATCCAAACGGAATAAAAAGTATCATTGAGGGTCAGATCTGAAATGGATCCACCAATGATGCATAGAAATACAAAAGATATCCCAAATTTAAAAATGGTAAAACATGCGAAAAGTAAAAGACTGCTTTAGTAAAATCTAATAATGTCTCTTTCTTCTCTGAAATAAATGAGAGTATTTTAATTTTTATTTCTTAGGAGTAGCCTTTATTTTTCAGTAAAACTATTCTCTAAGTATTAGCATAATGCAAGAAACAGGAACCCTAAGATATCATAGTGATAATTCACCTTTAGGGAAAAAAGTTAAGTACTAGAAATGTTATCATGTTATTCTTTTTTCTGAAAAACTTTAAATAAACCATCTATCGCACAATCTTTTATTTTTATAAAACCTCATGGAAACATTAGAGAATGTATATTAATCCAGCAAGGTATACTTTAGAATCCACTCAATACAATGATTCCTACCACCCACTCACATACTTCACTATCCTCTCTTTACTGTTTAACATATCCCTTAGTATTTCTAAAAACTCTTAACAAGACAACACAAATAAAGATCAGACTATAATTAATATGATTCCATCTGAAATACAACATCGTATCTTAATGAAATGTTTATACCATCATAGTGATTTAAATGTGCTTTAATACATTCAATCTTACACATTAATTATAATAATTCAACATGTTTTATAAAGTGCTAGAATGTAACATGAAGAGGCAAGATCAAAAAGTAAAATATAAAGAGACATGATTAAATCCCTCTTCAATTACAGAAGGACCAACTATAAGGAGGCTCTTTAAACAGCCTATTAATATAACCAATGTAACCATAGAAAATTAGAAATACCAAAAAAAAAAAAAGAAACTTAGAGATACCAAAGGAACATTTCATGCAAAGATGGGTTCTATAAAGGACAGAAATGGTACGGACCTAACAGAAGTAGAAGATATTAAGAAGAGGTGGCAAGAATACACAGAAGAACTGTACAAAAAAGAT